TTAACGTCCCGTCTTCATATCCTACAACAACATGCCCCTTCCTCTCACAAAAATTTGCGCAGGTAGCTCTCGTCACGCTCGGGGTTTCTGCAGTCACGTTCGGGTTTTCTCCAGCCACTTCGGATGTTACACTTCCAAAGCACATCCGAAAACATGCCCTCAAACGCCCACCCCGTTTCCGTTTGCTTGCTTCAAGATCCCCTGGGCCCTGAATCTCTGTTTCACACTCGTCGACAAACTGAATCTCTGTTTCAAACTCGCCTTCTAATCGAACCATCTTCGTCTCCTTCTCAGCAGATTGTGCGAAAACTGTTACTTCTGCCCCGGAACGGTTCACCTGGCATCCATTCACTTCACCACTGGAATCCATGCCCACTTGAATTTCAAAACTGTAATATGGCAGAACAATCTGCTCCACCATCTTTCCATCGGCTCGCGCTACACACTCACTCACAGGCCGCACCCACGGCCGTGGTGCGTATCTCTCAATTTCCTCCAGGATCTTTCGCACACAACCTGAATCCCGTGCCTTGTGCTTCACTCGCCCATATAGTTGAAAGTAAATCCCGGCATTATTTTCACCACAAAACGGTACGCTCAGTCGCGCAGCCCGCATCATCAAAACCATTCCATCCACTGCATCCGCATCTGCCCGTCCCATTCCCAACTTCCCGCATCCTCTTTTCCGCTGCAAGTCTCTACTCAATCCCTTCACAGCTTCCTCGTATTGCCAAACCCCGCCTCTCCGTAGCACTGTCTTCACCCATCGCGCACTCAAAAATAGTCTCTTCAGCTCCTCTACACACCCACCCTGTTTCAGAATACGATATATATTCTCGAAAACATACTCCTCCCGTGCGCTCTTCCGCTCTCCGTCTCGGTCCTCACTCATCGCAAGCAACCCTCCTCTTGCCCTGCATACATCCGCCATCTTCTTACACCACTCTTCTGCACCCTCCTTCTTCTTCGCTTCTTCCACTGCGAAGTCGTGCGTCAGATCATGCACCCGCAACCCACCACAACCCTTCTCATACTGCACTTCTACTAGTCCAACCCTTTCCAACTGTTTTGCACACTTTTCCGTCCACTCCTCGTCCATCTCCCACAAATCTCCAACCAAACTCAAAGGTATCCGGTCTTGCTTCTTCATAACGCACAGGCTCCGGTGCATCTTTCGAAACGAAAAATCATCAACCGTCTCCCCACTCTTTCCCACATACAACTCCAGGATATCTAGTGACGTATGCAATGTCCCATCCAACGACGAATATCCGTCCTTCGGACTCTCCCCGCGAATCGTGTTGCGACTTTTCATCCTCGAAAGGTACGCTCCCCATGCTTCTGATACTTCTCCCTCCCACCTTTCCCTCAAGTACCTCACACTCGTTCCTGCCACGTTCAGCGCAAGCGGCAATCCGCCACACATTTTCAGAATTTCACTCACGGCCTCCTTGCATCTCACATCATCCACTTCCTCTCGATTCGCCTCACTCGCGTGCACAAGCATGTCAACTGCTTCTTTCCCTACCTTCTCCCTCGGCTCGAAAGAAACCCGCTCTCCAATCTGACGCAGCTCCTTGTCCCTCGTGGAGTACAGTAGTCTGCTCCTCCTTTCCCCGCTGCCCCCCGCAGTGTCAGCCAGAACAGACAACTTTTGAAGGATGTTCGCGTCTATATCATTCACCACCCACACATCATCAATGATGAACAGACACACACGACTACAAAACCATGCTTGTACTTTCGCCAACACCCTTCCAAACTCGCTCTGCCCTCGCATTTCTGCAGCCGTCTGGTTGCCACCGGACGCTTCTACAATCAGACACAGTTCTTCAATTAGCCGTCCCACGTTTCCGTCTTTCCCCAATGACATGAAGTACACTCCTCCCGAAAACTCCGCCTTAATCTCATCGTCGTGCGCGATCGCTCGAAGGGCACATGTCTTCCCGACCCCGCCCTGTCCCACTGCTGTCGCACCCACTTGCTTGTTCCTATCTTTTCGTAGCACAGCCGCTTTTAGACGCGACTCACACGTGTTTGGTAATCCATCGCTCCCACGAGAATCAAGCTTTACACATATCGACGCAGGATTATGTTCGGCTCTTATCAACGCCCTGAACATATTACCCGTGCCTCGTCTGATCGACTCGACGGCCGCGCGAGTATCGATGCCCGTGCTTGCGTGTATAATACGTTTGTGAAGGCGGTCTGCTTCTTGCTTTCGCTTCTCTAAGACTTCTCTATCTCCCATTGCAGAGGCGTACGCACCGAGTTTCGCTCTTGGGTCTTTCGACTCTGTCTGCAGCTCTTCGAGGGACTTCAATATGAAGCTTGAGATGTCCGCGATTTCACGTCGGAGCAAGCCCGTGTGCCGCGACGACGTTCCATGGATCGGCATCTTTTCAAGCTCCGTGATGTCTCTCTGCAAGTTGGTGTACGCGGTGAACATTTCGGTAGAGAGCGTCTTGTTTTTCTTGTAGGCTTGGTGTCGATCGATGAGACTTGCGATGAGGCGGACGACTTGTTCAGCCGGGCCGGTGAGGCCCAAGATACTGTATGGATCAGCCATGGTGTCTGGGATTATGGGGCGTTGTTCGGATTCGAGTAGGTGGCGGTGGCAAAGCGACGCTTGCTCTTCTCAATATCTCCCTCTCTCCGAATCTCTTTCTCTCTTGTTGTTTTTAGTCGTTGTTCGTCGTTGTTTGTCGTTCGTGGTCTTCTCGCAGAGGGGGCGGGGAAGGTTTGTTTTCACTCTTGGCGTTGCGAATATGTGCAGTACATTCAGTGGGCTACAGCAATTTTAGGGCATGTGCCCGCTTGACAGTGATTGTCGGAGCGATTTCCTACATTCGTCAAGGGAGAGGGCGGCGGTTGTGCGGATTGTTGCTGCGGTGTTGGCACATTGTGGTAAAAGGGAGCCCCCTTTTTGTGACACACAAACGGCGCGTTGTGCACACACAAGGCGCCGTTTTCTCGGACGGGCGACCCCATGCTAGGTTAAATGTGTATCGCACAAATGTCAAAATGTGCGCGCGTACAATCCAAATTTACTGTACACAGAGAAAGCATCGGCCGCCGCCCGGCCGACGAGACTCGACATGTACATCCTACCGAGCATGGTTCTCAATGAGAAGCAGCAAAAGAATAGCCATTTGGTCATTCATGGTTCTGACGGTGGCTGCTCGGTGAAAACACCATCATGATTGAGCTTAGCTCACAGCACACACTGTATATAGAGCTCTGACGGCATCATCGCCGGCGTGTGGTGAGTGCAAAGCATGCGTACAGTAGGGGGTCGCACAGTATGTGCACAAACATTTCCGTGGCAAAACTTATTTTTTATGCACAAAAAAGAAAATTAAACTCTTGACACAAAAAATAATTTCCGGAGGCGCCCAGTAAGGCTGCTCTCGCGACGCACAAACACGACTTTTACGACAGCTACAGGGCTCCGAGGGACTCCAGGGAGGCGTGTGATACAGTGCTGTACTCCAGGGGCTTGTCCATCGGTACTACAGTAAATCTTTACAGTATTGCAACGAAAGCTATAGGACCATGCGAGCAGATTACAGTACAATACCCTCGCCGAGCGCACGTATCTGGCCTGAAGGTCCCCCCAAGTCGAGTCACGCCCCGAGTGGGCAGCTGGACTTGTTGGACACCGTCGCGGCGTGAACCGGTCTGTGAGCTTTGATGGACAAGACAAAATGCTCGCCCACATGCGAAGTGACGCGCGACTGTCTCAAGCCATTCAGTGCCGCCAACCCGGCAGAGACGGCGCAGGTCGCCGAGAGACCCCAACACAAGGACGGCCGAGCAATGATTGCCCGCACGCGCTTGGTGGCGGAATGTCCCCGGATTCAGAAGCGTTGGTGCCAACGCCAGCAAGACGGGCCGGACGAGGACAGGGGGGGGGGGTTTCAGGCAGGCGCCCGGCAGAGGTCCGGCAGTGGAAGCTGTCTGTGGAATTTGCCACTAAAATGGAGAAATTCGAGGGAAAACTGCCGACGACCGGCAGTTCTTTACTGTACGAGAGTCGGTGAACGACTCGATACGTACGGTGTGTGTCTTCCCTCTACCATCCCCCGACGCCCGTTACTCGGAATCATCGGGGGGACTTATATATTCACTACAGAGAGGGAAATTACTAGAGTATCTTGTCCTTACAGCGCGTGGAGAAAACCACGCGCCAATCAACTTCTGCAGTTTTCACACTGTCGGTGCGATCCGTAGGCGTGAATTTGTAAAAAGAATTACAGATAGCCTAAATCAGTTGCCTCATGTTCCTATCAAAACGTTCTGTAGTGCCCAAATCTGAATCACAGATTCGGACGTGTCCCTCCTGCTCCAGGCGCCAGGCATACACCTAAAAAGGAGTGTTCCTTCCGAGCGTCTTCCCTCTCCCTGAAGGAACACTCCTTCCAAGCGTCTTCCCTCTCCCAGAAGGAACACTCCTTCCGAGCGTCTTCCCTCTCCCTGAAGGAACACTCCTTCCAAGCGTCTTCCCTCTCCCAGAAGGAACACTCCTTCCGAGCGTCTTCCCTCTCCCTGAAGGAACACTCCTTCCAAGCGTCTTCCCTCTCCCTGAAGGAACACTCCTTCCAAGCGTCTTCCCTCTCCCTCGCCGCGATGGCACCCCTGGCGCCCGTCCTGCACACCAAGTGCCCTCCCACCGTGTGCTTTTAGCGCCATGCCATGGCTGTGTCACTAAACTTTATGCATTTTCTGCGATGCTTTTGGAGTCTCTTTCGGGCAAGCAGCTCTCTGCTACCGACATGAGCGACAAGTTGAGAGCGTGAGGGCGCGCGCAGGGCCAGGTGCAGTGCCTAGAGTGATACTGTGAAAGCCCGGTTTGTATTCGCCGAACAAACATATGTACCTGTTCCAACGCCGCAACTCGGAACAGTTGGCAAACTAGAAACACAGGCTGTGTCATTTACACACACAGCATACACTCCGAACTGTGTCGTAAAATTGTGTCTTTCTTTCTCGTCACCGTCATGGCTCTCACATTTCTCCAAATAGCATCGGCTGAAAGTTGCCCTTGCGTCTGCTCCAATATCATCCGCTTAGGTTGCAAACTGTCACCTTATCATCCCCACTTTTCTTCGTGCTCCCAACCTAGAGCAGTTTCCGCCCTTCCCCCCCCTCAGCTGCAAACCGACACCATAGCATACCCACGTTTCCACGTGCTCCCATCCTAAACTAGATATCCCCCAACGTTCGTACGATACTGGATACCACAACTGCCGCAAGGCGATGTGTTGCCTCTGCTAGACAGGATAGCAATCCGGCAACATTCGGGCGACTGCAAACCTAAAAAACATATTTGAATTACTATTCCGCAACGATGATCCCCTTCCAGCACATTTGTGGCTTTCGCCGAGTAGTCGATCAAGTGCAAGCGTCGCTTGCTTCCGCCATATTCCGACGACACTGATGTTGTGCCTGAAGAAATGAACTTCCTTCCCTCGCCCACAATGACCACGTGTTGCAAGCCTCAACGTGGAGTGAGAGTCGCTGCGGGTGGGGAGCATGGCCCCGTTACCGTGCGTTTCGCCGCCGAGTAAAGTGACGGCCTGCCTGGAAGGCATCGCCCCCATCAAGCCTCTCGGCCGCCAGACAAGAAGACGGCGTGCCGGGTGCGCGGCCGCCCGGCGGGGGCCCGCGATCAAAACGGGCGCGCAGCCACCTGTTGCGCGCCAAGGCCTCCCCGCGCGACTGCTGCAGATTCAAGCCGCATCTTAGCTTACCCGGGCCGCCGTCCGCCGTCCGCCGCGCGTAACTGCGCCCTCTCTCCACGTGCTTATTTCGCCGCGCCCCACGCGGGGCGAGGCCGGTCGCAGTCGCTGAGGTGCGGGCGGATGGCCCGTGCCGGCGGGTTAGCGCAAATCGCGCCGCCGTGCGTTTTCTACGCCGCACGTAGCATGGCTGCAGCTCCGCCCGCAAACGCTTCCCGTTCAAACCACGCGCGACTTGCAGCACAAGCACCATGCCGCCCTGCTTCCCGCTCGTGCGCAGCAATGCGCGCATCCCTTTCAAAGCGCGTGCGTCCGAATAAGCGTCGCCGCCGCCGTTGCGTGTGCCCTCACCCCGACGCGCCGTGCCTCCCTCCCCCTTCCCCCGCTCTCCCTTGCGCGCGCCCGTCGCCGCCGCACGTATGGACAGCGCTCGTGCCCCCGCCGCGTTCTAGTCGCGTGGCGGACGCTTCCCCGCCGCGACCCGGCTTGCAGCAGCAGCGGGATGGGGAGCTGGGGCGCGCTGTTGTCGCCGCTGGCGGAGCGTGGCGGCGGCGGGGCGCAGGCTACACAAACTCATAGAACATCTTTCGTCGTCTCTACTCTCGCTCCTACTTATCCGTCTCGCTTATCCGTCTCGCTGCTGGCTGTGATCAGACAGCTTATCGCGGTCGGTCTGTCACTGGAGGCCGCTTGTGTTACCTGTGCCGGCCAGGACACTTTCCCTTTTGCCCAGTGCTTTTCTCTCACAGTAACCGATGCCCCTTGCAAGGACGGTGTTCGTAATTGGACTGAGTGACGACGCTGACGCTCCGTAAAGGGAGAGGCCCAAATGTTTAGTAAAGTTGGAATTTATGGTAAAAGTGGGGAAAAAAGTTGGCCTCGTGTGCCACTTGTCTTCTCACACGTGTGGACCTGTGTGCACAGGCCCACACGTGGAAACCTGTGCACGTGGAAACCTGTGCACGTGTACCCACCGCCTCTTCAAAGTGAGATTGGCCCCCGCTTTGACCCGGTCTGCAACGCTTCTCAACACACCGTTCATTCACGAATACCTTTATAACTTTTGAGCACAAGAGCGCACGATGAACGGAAGCAGGTCCCTAGTTCATACATACACATACACATACATACACATACATGGATTGCAACGTCCGTGAGGCGAGCTTCTCACGCATTCATAAATCAAAAAACCCTCAACGCACTGCTGATGTCACGGGCGGCAGGCGGCCATCGCACTTCGATGCTTACTTACACCACTAGCTTCATGATAGCAACCAGATTGCCCGCCCCTGCAACTGCGACCCCGTGATCGTGGTCTATCTGCAAGTCTCGTGGATCGTCTAACTGGGCCAAGACGGCCTCGGACCCATCCTCTCGCCTTTGCACAATTCTTCCGTCCCTTGAAAATATTTGTGATGTTCGTCCTGCGCGGGAAGCAGTACCCAAGCCTGCCGTCTTCAGGAACCGACTCGTGATTTTTTCCCAATCCTCTCTCCTCCCAGTATAAAGTGTAATCCCTCTCTCCACGTCCCACACGCGCACGCTCTTGTCCCACGATCCAGATACCACACGTCTTCCGTCCCCACTCATCGCAACTCTACTCACCGAATCCGTGTGTCCAACTAACGCCTTCCCGACTTGTGCTCCCGTCTCCACGTCCCACACCCGCACGCTCTTGTCAAGCGATCCAGATACCAGACGTCTTCCGTCCCCACTCATCGCAACGCTAACCACCCAACTCGTGTGTCCAACTAACGCCTCCCCGACTTGTGCTCCCGTCTCCACGTCCCACACCCGCACGCTCTTGTCATACGATCCAGATACCAGACGTCTTCCGTCCCCACTCATCGCAACGCTAACCACCCAACTCGTGTGTCCAACTAACGCCTCCCCGACTTGTGCTCCCGTCTCCACGTCCCACACCCGCACGCTCCCGTCCCACGATCCAGATACCACACGTCTTCCGTCCCCACTCATCGCAACGCTAAGCACTTCATCCGTGTGTCCAACTAACGCCTCCCCGACTTGTGTTCCCGATTCCACGTCCCACACCCGCACGCTCATGTCAAGCGATCCAGATACCACACGTCTTCCGTCCCCACTCATCGCAACGCTACGCACCCCACCCGTGTGTCGAACCAACGCCTCCCCGACTTGTGCTCCCGTCTCCACGTCCCACACTCGCACACTCTTATCATCCGATCCAGATACCAGACGTCTTCCGTCCCCACTCACCGCAACGCACTCCACTCTCGACCTATGACCGCGGAAACTTCTCAATACTTTCCTCTCCGATGTACTCCACAGCCTTAACGTCCCGTCTTCATATCCCACAACAACGTACCCCTTCCTCTCACAGAAAGTTGCGCAGGTTGCTCTCGTCACGCTCGGGCCTTCTCCAGTCACTTCGGAGGTTACACTTCCAATGCACATCCGAAAACATGCCCTCAAACGCCGACACATTTTGCGCCTGCTTGCTTCAAGATCCCCCGGGCCCTGGCTCTCCGTTTCGAACTCGACTTCTAATTCAACCATCTTCGTCTCCTTCTCAGCAGATTGCGTGAAAACTAGTACTTTTGCCGGGGGCCGCGCCACTTGACATCCATACACTTCACCACTGGAATCCATGCCCACTTGAATTTCAGGATTGCCATATGGCAGAACAATCTGCTCCACCATCTTTCCACCGGCTCGCGCTACACACTCACTCACAGGCCGCACCCACGGCCGTGGTGCGTATCTCTCAATTTCCTCCAGCATTTTTCGCACACAACTTGAATCCCGTGCCTTGTGCTTCACTCGCCCATATAGTTGAAAGTAAATCCCGGCACTGTTTTCACCACAAAACGGTACACTCAGTCGCGCAGCCCGCATCATCAAAACCATTCCATCCACTGCATCCGCATCTGCCCGTCCCATTCCCACCTTCCCGCTTCCTCTTTTCCCCTTCAAGTCTCTACTCAATCCCTTCACAGCTTCCTCGTATTGCCAAACCCCGCCTCTCCGTATCACCGTCTTCACCCATCGCGCACTCAAAAATAGCCTCTTCAGCTCCTCTACACACCCACCCTGCTTCAAAACACGATATATATTCTCGAAAACATACTCCTCCCGTGCGCTCTTGCCCTCTCCGTCTCGATCCTCACTCATCGCAAGCAACCCTCCTCCTGCCCGGCACACATCCGCCATCTTCTTATACCACTCTTCTACACCCTCATTCTTCTTCGCTTCTTCCACCGCGAAATCGTGCGTCAGATCATGCACCCGCAACCCACCACAACCCTTCTCATACTGCACTTCTACTAGTCCAACCCTTTCCATCTGCTTTGCACACCTTTCCGTCCACCCCTCCTCCATCTCCCACAAATCTCCAACCAAACTCAAAGGTATCCGGTCTTGCTTCTTCATAACGCACACTCCAGTGCATCTTTCGAAACGAAAATTCATCATCCGTCTCCCCAGTCCTTCCCACATCCGACTCCAGGATATCTAGTGACGTATGCAATGTCCCATCCAACGACGAATATCCGTGCTTCGGACTCTCCCCGCGAATCGTGTTACAACTTTTCATCCTTGAAAGGTACTCCCCCATGCTTCTGACACTTCTCCCTCCCATCTTTCCCTCATGTATCTAACGCTCGTTCCTGCCACGTTCAGCGCAAGCGGCAATCCGCCACACATTTTCAGTATTTCACCCACGGCTTCCTTGCATCTCGCATCATCCACTACCTCTCGATTCGCCTCACTCGCGTGCACAAGCATGTCAACTGCTTCTTTCCCTACTTTCTCCCTCGGCTCGAAAGCAACTCGCTCCCCAATCCGACGCAGCTCCCTATCCCTCGTGGAGAACAGTAGTCTGCTCCTCCTCCCCCCGCTGCCCCCCGCAGTCTCAGCTAGAACAGACAACTTCTGAAGGATGTTCGCGTCTATATCATTCACTACCCACACATCATCAATGATGAACAGACACACATGACTGCAAACCCATGCTTGTACCTTCGCTAACACCCTTTCAAACTTGCTCTGCCCTCGCATTTCCACAGCCGTCTGGTTGCCACCGGACGCTTCCATAATCAGACACAGTTCTTCAATCAGCCGTCCCACGTTTCCGTCTTTTCCCAACGACATGAAGTACACTCCTCCCGAAAATTCCGCCTTAATCTCATCGTCGTGTGCGATCGCTCGAAGGGCACATGTCTTCCCGACTCCGCCCTGTCCCACTGCTGTCGCGCCCACTTGCTTGTTCCTATCTCTCAGTAGCACAGCCGCTTTTAGACGCGACTCACACGTGTCCGGTAATCTATCGCTCCCCCGAGAATCAAGCTTCACATATATCGACGCAGAATTATGTTCAGCTCTTATCGACGCCCTGAACGTATCACCCGTGCCGGGCCTGGTCGACTCCACGGCCGTGCGAGTATCGATGCCCGCGCTTGCTTGTAGAATTCGATGGTGAAGGCGGTCCGCCTCTTCTTGCTTGCGCTTCTCTAGGACTTCTCTATCTCCCACTGCAGAGGCGAACGCACCGAGTCTCGCTTTTGGGTCGTCCGACTCTTTCTGCAGCTCTTCGAGGGACTTCCCCGTATGAAGCTTGAGATGTCCGCGATTTCACGTTGGAGCAAGCCCGTGTGCCGCGACGACGTTCCATGGATCGGCATGTCTCTCAGCTCCGTGATGTCTGCCTGCAAGGTAGTGTAGGCGGTGAGGATTTCGGTAGAGAGCGTCTTGTTTTCCTTGTAGGCTTTGTGTCGTTCGATGAGACTTGCGATGAGGCGGACAACTTGCTCAGCCGAGCCGGTGAGACCCAAGATACTGTATGGATCAGCCATGGTGTTTGCGAATAGGGGGTGTTGTTAGGATTCGAGTAGGCGGCGGTGGCAAAGCGGCGCTGGCTCTTCTCTATATCTCCCTCTCTCCGAAACTCTTTCTCTCTTGTTGTTGTTAGTCGTTGTTCGCCGTTGTTTGTCGTTTGTGGTCTTCTCGCAGAGGGGGCGGGGAAGGTTTGCTTCCACCCTTGGCGTTGCGAATTGTTGCTGCGGTGTTGGCACATCGTGTGTTTAGTACAAGTGGGCTCCGTGGCGCGCGTTGCGGGCCGCAAGTGGGGAGGAATGCGAAAGGGTTTGAATGTAACAACAAAGTTTTTGGAATGTGGTGACATCAACAGCTTCAAAATAAATAAATGGAATGGAATGGAGTGGATAAAGGCACACGGGGTGTTTGAGGAAACTTCAAGCTTTAGTTTTACCCCTCTTCCGCCCGCGCTTCTTCTCCATCCCCACCGTCGCCACAAACATAAACGTCACCTCGCCGCGCCCGTCGCGCTCGTCGAACCTCACGCTGCTCGTGTTCATCACCCGCCCCTCCCGCTCCTTCTTCGCCAGCGTCTCCTGCTCGGCCGCGCCCACCGCCTTCCCCTTCTCCTGCTGCATCCTCGTCTTCCGCCTCCTTCTCCTTGATCTCCTGCAGCCGCTTCCGCTCCGCCTCCTCCTCCTCGCTCCCGTGGTCCATCACCTCCTCCTCATCCTCGCCCGAACCGCCCCTGCTTCAGCATTACGTAGCTCGCGTTCCCGTGGTCCATCACGTCCTCCTCCTCGCCCGAACCGCCCGCCGCCGCCGCCTTGCGCGACTCGGACCCCGCGCCGCCAGCCGAACGCGCGCGCCGGCTGGGCGCGGAGGGCGGAGGCACGTTCACCGCATCGTCCGCGGGAGAGGAAGGCGCCGCCGCGAGCGACGGTCTGTGGGCATGACGTCGAGAATCGTCTGGGGCACGGAAGCGGTTCTGTGAGGATTCAGTTTATATTTAAGCGCGTTGTTTTCTCCAGATGCTTCATTTCAGCGGCTTTGGAGAACGTGCAGGGGTATCCTTACTCGGCAGACTTGCTCGCCCAAGTCAAGTGCTGCAAACGCCAATTTGTAGGTGGTACGCGGTTGGAACTAAGCAGCTTAAGTGTGTTGAGGTTTAACGCATGGGAAGTCGGTGACAAGGCGGAAGGGTCAACGTGTCTACATATCCGTCATGTACACGTGTAGCGGTGTGCTATAGACAACCATAATGCGTAAAGTCTGTATAATTAATTTAATACTGTGGTGCTGCTGAAGGCCAACCGGAAGCTACCTTAAATCCGGCCAAAGAATTTTGAATCCACAAGGAGGCCTTGGTCGTTCCTTACCTTCGTTCGAGCGCGCCTTTTCTTAGATAAACCATTTCGATGCTTCTACAGCATGTCGTTCACCGTCGGGCAATTCATTCCGCACTTCGGAAAGAGGAAGAAGAGCCCCACATTCTGCGCAAAAGCGGTCAGAGCAGCACATTGCCGTGATGTGCGCACATCAGAATCGGCCAGATGCGCCAACTATCTCTGTTTCACCTCGAATCGCAGCTTGGATCCGTACTATTTTTCAGACGACATGCGTCTCAAGCGTGCTTCGCGCATTTCCCCGAGATGAAACCCCTTGTGTCTCGACGCTGGACATTTCGTTGGGGTCAGTACTCGTCGATGGCTTTTCAGCTGGTGCGTCCGGGTTTGTCTGCACGGATTGCGGATCTAGGATCATTTCGAAGAAGATCAGAACGCAGGCACAAAAAACAAAGATGAAAAACAGTTGAAGCTGTTTAGCCGAAAGGCTCGAAGTATCGGTCCTTCCACATCGTCCCGAAGAGCTCAAATGTTCTTCAAGGCTGGGAAGAAGGCCAGAGGCCAGCATGTCAAGAGTTTCTCTGCTCATGGGCTCTGTCAAGTTTGAGTCGCGTGGAAGAAGAAACGAAGACCCTCCTCGAGAGCAGGGCTCGCCCGTCAGTGTCACCTTTCCGCAATACCTACGTTCGCCAAGGTGCATGCCTGATGATAGCGAGGCTAGCAAGAACTTGCACTTCTTCTCATACAAGAGTTCTCCTCCTTTTTCGTATGAGTCGACGAATATCGGCTCTCGTGTGTGGCAATCGCTGTGAGTTTCAATTGATGTTAGTGCGTTGGAGAAGATGCCAGCTTCGAGAATGGCCGACGTGATGCATACGTACTGAGAAGCGATAGCTGTTTTCCAGAGTATCTCTATGGCACCTCCTCGCGGCACACAGACTTGTTGCGGGGGGATTTGGCAGGTCTGGAGGTCTCGTATGTTTCGGTATTCGGACTCGAACTGCTTTTGTACAAGTACGGCACTATTCGCTCAGAGCGCACGATTTGGGTCGAGTTAGATGATCTTGTCCACTACGATCTGTTATTCGTGCACATTTCTGTTGATATCATAGAAGGCTGGGATGCGATATCCTCGAGGCAAAACTCACGTCATCGATGATTCATAGGCCAGAATCAGAAAAAGACTGCAGAAGGCGATCAACAGGTTAAGTACCCATTGCCTTGAGGTCGACCTGCTGTGCTCGGAATCAAGACTACCTTGTTGCATCATTCGGTCCACTGTGCTCGCAGAGAAATGTCACATGAGGGAAAGAATGGAAGGAAACGTTTCGTGCGGGAGTGAGTCGCAGAAAGAAGACGAACGCGATGAGAGAGTGCGCACACGCTTTTTGAAAAACGTACATGTACTCGCCAGTGCGAGTCTCAACCTGCGAGGAACCGGGCTCTTGAGCAAATAGTGCTTCAATCTTCGAAATCGAGATTCCCCGTCCGGAAGCGGTTCGTATGGCTTGACGAGAAGTGCAAAGCGCCTGTCAAGAACTTTAAGAAACGTGAACAACCCGATGAGGGCCAGCACCAACAGCCAGGTAGAAGTGGAGAAGGCCGTGATAAAGAAGGCTCCAGCGGATGCGGAGGAAGTATTGTCAGTATGCACGACGATGCCAATCCCGTCAATGACGAAGGGGGGGAGATAGTCAACCCTTCCAAAACGGTAGCTACTTTCGGACCAGCCGCCAACAGCCATTTCGCATTTACACTCAGGAGAATCACGAATAGTGCCGTTGTCTGTGCAGGCCTCGATATTTTCAAGGATAGAGTTAAACGACACTCCGTCCTTGTCATTGTTGTTGAACTCAACCATAGTCTCGCAGCGAAAGCCGAGCCTTTCTTGAAGTTGTAAAAGATACGTCATGCCCATCCCCTTATATCCGAAAGGCTGCTTGTCGGACAGAAGGTGTCAGTTGGCGGTGCAGAGTGAGCTCGCCGCTACGCGTAATTCGCACCCCTGGAAGAAATGGATGCCTTACCTTGGCATTTGCATCTTTTTCCATTATCATGCTTTCCAGGGCGGTACAACACTGCAGGCGCAGCCCTTCGAGCGGTCGCTCGGTACCCTCTTCGGCGGAGACAGTCAACCAGGAGCATGAAAGGGCTAGTGCCGTGAAAACACCGATTGAGACGTTTGTAAGTATGGCGTTGCGGGAGGCAAAGAGCGGCATCTTGTTTTGCTTGCGTTGTTCACGTGAATGTTTTCGTAGTCAACTATGCTGTTCCCCGCCATATAGTACCTCAGAGCTGCACCGCTGAGTCGGTAGTTTCACGTTTTGTGTTGAGAGAACGGAGACGGGGAGCAATGATCAACGCTTGGATGCAAGTCTTGTTGGTCTACGTCGAAATCATACGACGCGTAGAATTTGAAGACTCCTGGCATCTTGGGCATGGATAGGGGTGTGAAAATGGAGGAATGTATGAGTTCTTCTGGCGGCAGATCTAGAAAGTGTTGTGACGTCATTAGGAAGAAACACCGCTATAAAGCGCCGAGCTGTGCAGAATGTAGTGAAGCGCACGGCCCTGTTGAGCATGGAACGGCCCTCAGGGCCGTTCCTAACGAAGAGTTAGGTGTGCTAGCACCCGGGCTAGCACGCAAGCACCCTGACATTTGGCATGAATGGATTGGTTGAACGGGAGTAAAAGCATTTCCAATAATTTTTTCAACCAATACATTCATGCCAAGTTTCAGGGTGCTCGGGTGCTGGCACAGCGAACTCTTCGTTAGGAACGGCCCTGAACAAAACAGTGGAGCCGTAATTTACGGCACCACTTTGGCCCTTCCATTTGCATTACGGCCCGTAATGTTCAATGCGTCCAGAGAAGCGCGCGTACCGTACGCTCTCGCGTTCCCGCGTACTCTCGTTTCTCTGGAGGCATTTGAAGCAAGTAACAGTACAATAAAGTACTGTTACTTGCTTCAAATGCGTCTTTTTTGAGACATATGGCACTAGTGGTACCGTATACAGTACCCTTGGGTACAGTACAGCAGTGCGTGTTGGCGTTAGTCCTGGGCAGTGTCTCGTTGCCGATCTCAAGATTACAGTCTACTCGCGATAAATGAGATGAACGATAGATAATTTAAACAGGTTTGCAAGAACTAATCCCCTAAAATATCCAAGTGTTGCCACTGCACGCGGCGCTAAGCAGCGAACTGGCTGCAAGGGAATGGGCAACGATGTTCGCATTTCTGGACGGGATGCGCGGTTGGGCGGCTGATGGGGCGATGGTATGGCATATACTGATGTCAGTACAAATGCTGTCAACAGCATTTGTACACGAAGTGCAGTACGAAAAGGCAAAGGTTGACGGATGTGTTTTTGATTTTCAAGGTGTGCGTGTCGTAGTGGGGACGCAGAGATTTTGCTCTGACAGAGACAGAACTCGTTACTGTTACTGTTACTGTTAGTAGCAGCAACAGGCACCTGACCTGCCTCCCGTGCTGCAGGCATAGAAACGGCAGCTGCTTTGTCTGCGACCGCACTGGCGAGGGCGCTATCAACGTTGGTGCGGCAGACACAGGGGCAGGATGCAGCTTCGGTCTGGACAAACATGAGACCGAAGAGAGCGAGCACCACGGTACGCAGGAGGAGCAGTAGCAGGGCGCGCGAACGCTTCGCGATCGGCGCCATGGCGGTGATGGTCCCCCCGCCGTGACGAGCCCACGCGCCCCCGTCCTCACCCGAACTCCTGCGGACGGGGAGATGAGAGACGGAGGAGTCAGGAAAGTTGTCGGCGGTGTCAGGGGTATGCGGATCAGTCGTTGTGGGGACATTGTACGCAGAGCGCTCATCGAACTCGACACCGACGGTGGGTGGGCGGCGCGCGTCTTGAAACGACATACCGGGACGCGTAGGCGAGTGACGGCATGTGATTATTGGCAATCCTGACGAAAAGCGACGGCCTGCATCGAACGCATCGCCCCCTGGAGCCGCTCGGCCGCCGGCCGAGAAGACGGCGCGCCGGGTGTGCGGCCGCCCGGCGGGGGCGCGCCATCAAAACGCGCGGGCGGCCACCTGTTGCGCGCCGCGGCCTCCCCGCGCGACTGCAGCGGATGCAAGCCGTGTTCCAGCGAATCC